TCCTCTTTCCCCCAGCCAGGCACCATGACTTTCTTCTTTACCTAAGAGCTACCTCTAAAATTAAGGTTGCCACTTTTGTTCTAGTTTACAGGTTAAAACAAAATCCTGTTATACTGAGTCATGGAGACGGTGGCTCTCCAAGCCTACAATAGGTTAACCTGCTTTGACTGTGAATTTCCCAAAGTCTTGAAGGAGGGACATCCTCAGGGGTCTTAAGAAGAAGTAATTCAGTGTTCAAAAATGGACATGTCTACCTACCTACATGAATCCACACTGCATTTCCATCCACAAAAAAAATACATTTTGATCAATCCACATTCACATCTGCATGATAAAAACAAGTCAGGCAGACACATGGCCTGGCACCCTTAGTCAAGCTGTGGGCTGTGATGCTGCTAGGCCATGCCATTGCTTTACATTGTTTATTAAATAGGGTATAAGTGAGAAATCAAAAGCCTAACATTTGTAAGCCACCTCCTCAGCAGATACCACATACGGGATAAGCATTTTGGGTGTGCTCTTTTCAAAGGGCAAGGTAATTATCCCCCCTTGTAGTGAAGCAAAACTTAGGCTTCAGCAAAAAGCACAAAATTAAACGCAGCCCTACGTGTCCCATATATAGCAAAAGGATAAACGCTGTGTGGGTCCTCTTCTCAAGGACAGCTTCTCTTGCAGAATCTGGTACGTAAGTGCCTTTCATTCAACTGCCTTTCTGAACCTTCTAACGACAACAGCTATACATCAGACTCTTCTCTCTAAGCCACATTCATCATCACCCAACATTTCCTTGTCTTCTAATCATCACCTAGAATGAAATTCACCCTTCTTGAAGCTGACTACAGATTTGTCCAAAACCTCGTGCCTGGTCCCTTGAGCTATGTTATATGCCCATGCATCCACTGGGAACAAGGAGTTCTCTAGCTTCTTTCTGGTCAGGCCAGTTGTTACCCCTCAACCTATGCTTGGAAGTTTAATGCATTGGTTTAGAGTCTGGAAAAGTCAAACTTCCTCCTTGAAGGCTAACTCCATTCCCTAACTCAGCCTTTCTTGTTATAGAATAAGTGCCCTGAGGACTAGACTCATGACTTACTCAATATTACAAGACAGTTGCTAATGGAGCCAAGGTGATATAACCAGGGGCTGAAACTACTTCTGACAAATGGTTTAACCACGTTTTTTCCATTATGCATGCTGCTTAAGACTGTGCTGGAGTTAAGACAAGCTCTGAGTTATTCTCTTGTGAATTCAGAATAGTTAAAGTAATCTGTCCTTGTGCTTGTCCTTTGAACACATATGGGGGACCACTTTCAATGACAGTGAGTTTGTGGCACTGTGTAGTCATGATCTGGGGGGAAAATTAATCAAATAACATTCTCCCATGGGTGGGGAGCATCTTCGTAATGGCGGTTACTGAACAGGTCTTCATTGGTTCTCTAGCGGACAATCTGCCCACAGAACAGATTTCTTAATTAAACTGAATGACCATGTGCCAGATCTGTCTCACATATGCTAAATCAGTTTAATGAACAGGCATCTTGTGTATCAGACTCTTAACTGCAAATATGTATAAATACACATTGCATCCTACTGTTCTGGGCATAGTTTTGAATCCTGGGGAAATAAACCGAGCATTTGTTTCCAAGCTGACTGGCATGTTTCATTTCAGAGTGAACAGGAGGAAAGCTCTCAGGCAGGTCCATGAATTGAAATACTGCAGGGTTCTGAATGGGAAGGGAAGAAATTCTCTACTTCATGTCAATAACCTAAGCCTGGAGTTTTTAAATAAGAAATGGTATTTATTTCGATGTCCGTGTCAACCCAGCATCAACACTTACTCATTTTTACTTCTAAAATAGTTCTAATTTTTAACTCTCCTTCTTCTACATACCAGGAACCACTATTTGGGCCTTCATCAGCCTTTATATGACATCAATTTCTAAACCATTGACTGCATGAGAATTAGCTAGGACATGCACTTGAATATAGACACACAGATACCAGTCCACAGGTTGTGGAATGGGACCAGGACATTCACATATTAAGTAAGCATAGCAGGCAGTTCTGATACAGGGCCTTACTTGGACCAAAACACAGCCCCATGTGTCCATCATCTAAAAATAGAAATCTAAAATAGCTTACATGCATTAAAAACTCAGTTTTTCCACGCCAAGTAAAAACAATGGAAGCTTTTGGCCTTAGTGGCATGATACTCAAAGACCTTGATAGCTCCTTTACTTGGATACTATCCAGCTTGGCAATACTTTTCTAGAATATGTGATGTTCTCATCCTCACAAAACTCTCTTTTTTAAGACCTACTCAAATACTATTTCTGAACAACTCATGCCTGAGACTACCTCTTCCAAGATTATCCTCTCCACACCATGTTGCTCAGAACAATCTCTTTATATTACTATAGATCCCTTGGTAACATCAATAGTAAAATCTCCCATGATGTAATACAACCAGCGACTGACTCATGTTTGTTTTGCCACACCATTACCTTTCCATACAAGAAGCACACTTTGTTTTGTGCCTACCTCCTCTAAAGAAAGCACTCAATAGATGCTTCTACTGGAAGTCATTCTCAGCTATGACTGCAGCCCCATACAACTGATTCCTTATCCCATGTGGTTAGAGCTTATTACACAGGGTCTTAAAGAGAATGGCAACCAGCTCTTAGTTTCTCTATTGCATTTATAACTACAGCACAGAAAGAAAACTATTGTTGGGACTACTGATGAAGATTTTAAAGCAAGCAAAAGGAAATAATAAAATCTAAATGCAGAATAAGTCTGCCAATCATAGAGTAGAGCACAAGTGCTATAGGCTGACCAAGAGAGGGGAAACTGAGCTCTGCCATGAGCAGACCATATCAATTCTCTATGGCTTAGTTTTCTGATGGAAAACAAAGAATGTCCCCTGGGATTTTTTAGACAATGAAGAAAATTTTGGCAATAATTTTCTATAAAGTATAAAAGTACATATTTTATAAAACCTAAGATAAAGGTTGGGGAGTTAAAAACCTTTTGCAACATAGAGTTTCTCAGCTATTCAAAATAACAAGCACCAATGGACAATATGGAAATGAGTGATTGCATACCAATACAATTTTATTTCTTAAAATAGTCCCAAGGGCTATGGTTTGTAGACTTCTGAAACAGACTTAAACCACAATAGGAGCTGAACTTGTAGATGTTAATATTTTCCCTGGAGAAATTTTCTACTTGGTTCAACCTTTTATACAACTTTTTATCGTATCTCCACTGTAATGTGATTACACCATGACCATGTGTATTCACTGGAACCAGTATAACATAGACTATCATCTGGGACTCACTACCTCACATTTTCCATAATTCTGATCTATATTTGTCACCTGAAGTGAAAACAGTGGGGTGGATCTGAGAAAGCATAGTTTCTCCTATAATTTTAGCCATTTTGCCACTTAGAAGTTAATCTGAAATTCTTTGTAAGACACTGAAACGGCAGCAGCAGCAGCCTGACTGATAAGAACGATTTTCTTCTACTTGAAAATTACTTGCATTGATTGATAAACTACTAACTAAGAGCCATGTTAAATGACATCCAGACAATGCTGATTGCAACCAAGGCACTAAGCTGCTGAATGGACTCCATCATCCCCTCCTTCCCCTCTCCTGCCATCTAACTGTGGCAACAAAGAAGAAAATCCCCTAGATTCAGAACTATTTAGGTATTTCTGACCCTCAAGATACAACATCAATGTGACTTCTAAGGAAATTTACTGTGCTATAGCATGAGACAGCAGAAAGATACTGAACCTGTAGTTCATTTTGTGCCTGTTAAGTTGCAGCTATAATAACGACCACCGGAGTTTTATCTAGAGAGTGAGGCCAAGATAAGCATTTGAAAATAAATCTAAAGAATCCATACCTGACCCCTTTGTATCTCAGCATTTATAAGCTGTCTTTTTCCCCAGATTTTTCTGGGAAAAGCTGTTGCCCTCCTCTGCCCACATAGTCCTCTAATGCCTGCCTTCACTGGCAAATCCTTGAGCAATAGCAGCCACTGCAACACAACAAGTTAGGAAATACTCTTGCCTGCTGGCTCTCCGATGCTGACATGTACCTCTATTCTTGCTCTAACTCCTACCATATTTAAGCAGCTCATATGTATTTTGGCTGAGTCAGCTCTTCTCATGAACACTTATGAGCCAGCTGTTTTTCTACAGGTGTCCACCTGGTCTAGTCCCCAGGCTGATCCAATGGCTGTCTTCTAGATCTGTTCAGGTCCTCCATATATTGGTAACAGAAAATGGAAGACGGGGCTAGGATGTACTCTCATCTTGGAGTAAAGTCTTGCCTAGTTTGAAGAGATATCCTCTTTGTGAGAGTGCCTGACTCTTTCTCCACAAACAAACAAACTCACAAATACTTTACACTCAGACTCTACTCCAGGCTAGGATTATCCTTTGACTAGTTTACCTGTCTCTCACTGGCAGCAAATGGCTACAACACAGGCCCTTGGAAGTGTTTGTACAAGTCTCAGACCGGGTCACATTTTTAGTGAAAGGTACCAACTAATCCACTCTGGGAATGTGTACTGTAACTCACTGCCTTGATGACATTATTATCCAGCCCTTTAGAATATTTCATCTGCCTGTGCTGTCACATAGATTTGGCTCAAAATGCATAGCCCCACAGCTAATTCTGGGCAGTCTCTGTGAAGCCCACATGCCTCTTGGCAAACCTGGTCCATTTTGTTCTAGGTGGATCAGATGTTTCACTCTTCCTCCAGTAAATTAGGGTTTGTTCATTTGGAAGTATGTATGTGGGTCAGGTGGGTCCTAGAAGCAAATGGCACTTTCAAAGTAGAAAATACAAGGAAATATAACTTTGGATATGAAGGGGGAAAAAAACATCCTTTCTGAGCAAATGAGCTCAGAGCAGTAGAAAATCCCCATTAACACAACCATACATGAAGAAATGCTGACACATGCAACTCACTCTTCCCTTCCCTGCTTCTGTGAGGAGGTGATTAGACTGTGCCTACAGTCTTCTGCAAAGGTCTTCACAAAGGTTCTCCCGAGACACCTGATGCTCTTCTGTCCCTTGACCCTGGGCTCCAGCAACGCTTTCAGCATGACAGCCCTCTGACTTACACACCTGCCGCTCGGCTGAGATGTTCAGGTAAGTACTAATTGTCACCACACACAGTGGAACAAGTCTTAGAGCCATGTTGTCCTTAAGAGAGCCATTGATTTAACCAATGCCAATGGGCACCCAGGTCTCCTTATTAAGTTACAGATCCTGGGTCAGTCAATCACCAATCCTGTTTCTACAGTTACAACCAGCTCTTAGGAAGCACACAAATCCTAGTGTGCAGATGGCATTTCAGATGACAAGGATTTAAATCACACTGTCGTAGAAACTGACAGGTTAAAGTCCCTGCACAGTCCTTCAAAAGAAGCGTCTGCTGCTGTACTCTGCTGTTGTTTGGTGATTTTCCATTTGCTTGTTTGTTTGTTTTATGTTCAGTATAAATCCCAGGCTAGCACAAAACTTGACAAACCTCTTGATTTCTGAGAGGACAGACACATACCACAGGCCCAGTTTTCTCTCTGCTTTAAGTATACTCTCCAGATAGGAAGCAGAGATAAGTGAGAATTTCTGAACTACCTTGAACACCAAATAAAGTTTCTGATTGTGCCTCCCCATGTGCACTTATGGTAGGGAATGGTGTTCTCCACTCAACGTGTTACAGAAACACAGTTCACTGGTCCAACCCCTTTATTTTTGCTGGAGACTCTGACCGGAATGAACCAAGCCTCCTCTGACACACTTCCTGTACCCTGAGTGCAGATTATACAGGAAACGTCTTGTCTGGTCCAAGGCCTAACACTAGTGATGCCCTGTGGGAGGATTTCCACACATTCCTGTTGGTTTTTACCCTTCTCGGGAAGAGTGAGAGTCTTCCTGATCTCCAGGATCCAGACAACCTCTAGCACATTTAGAAGAGCTCATGCTATCCCTATCAACCTGGTGTAGGTTGATTAATTAGTTCTTCTAATAAAGACCATACACTAGACACTTCTGTTTATTTTATCCTTTCAAAGAGCACAAAGGTTCCTAAGAATCTTGCAGACTTTGCATGAATTTAAGACAAATTATAGTGATGTACGACTGCCCCTATTCACTAGCTATAACAACTGAGGACATGGAAAAATAGGGTAATTTACCCACACACCTATTGGGTGACATATGTTTGGTGTTAGGTAAGGCTAATTCCCAAACTGTGCTCTGAAATACTACGCTCTGTTTCCTATGCTCTATCTCTGTTTTCAAGAAAAAATGTATAAGCTGCAGGGTTTCACATCACTCGGTGAGCCTCATTTTGTTGTGTTCTGGGGAAGAAAACTAATTCATGAAGTTCAAACATCAAACTCTTATGGCATCCAGAGGGCCTCATCTAGAAACTACTATGGTTGTGACCATTTGTTTGATGATACAAATATACATAATATAGACATATAGAAAGACTTAGATATTGTATAAATATACAGAGAGTTATCAATATCTCCTGATGCTCACACTCAATTCCTAAAAGATTGAAAGCACACACACACACACACACACACACACACCTCTTTTCATATCTCCTAAAACATTCAGGTCACTGTAGATTGCAAACACATAATAAAAACTCCTAGCTAGAGTAAACGAGTGGATATGATATTTACCTAGGTAGAGTTGGCCAATGTTGAAAGCAAAACAAAATAGAAGCAGTGAAGTCCTTGTGCACTGTGGAGTGAATTTTCTCTCAGCTATGTTTTAAATTTATGTGATATACATCTGTCTACTGCAAATCTCATGATGGCACTTGAGACATGAGCAGTGGAGACCGGAGATAATGAACTACATCTAACGTAACTGAGAAAGATCACCTAAGATGCAAGTCTATGCAGTAGAATAATCTCAAGAATATATTCCATGCATTGCCATGACCTGTGAGTATACATCTTGGAAGCTGTGCAATCTTTAAAAAGCAAAATATTCAAGTTCACAATAGCCACAGTGGTGAGCAAGGGTTTTCTCTACAGAATACACTAACACCTTGTGGTTTTAGGCTGCTGGTGCTGACTGAGAACATGCTTTTGACGATGCTTTCTTACTGAATTCCTCATAACTTTTGAAGATCTTGCCTTTTGACACCTTTTCACAAGAATCTTACAATCCATTTACAATTTCCTAATATGGAAACAACCTAGGTACCTGTAGACAGGTGAATAGATAAAGACAATGTATTGGAAGGGGTATGCTGTGCACATGAAATATTATTTAGTTGTAAAGAAGATAGATATCCCACCACTTGCAACAAGCTAGCTATAATTGGAGTATATTACATTGAATTAAGTAAGTTAAGTATTCTCTCATGTGTGAAAGTTAAAAGAAAAGTGGACCTGATTGTAAAATAGTGATAACTAGCCATTGGTAAGGGAGAGGAAATGGATAAAGAGGGGCATGATTTATCAATGTTTGCTGTATATATATGTATTGGCATATCTGATTGAACTCCATTAATATGTACAATTGATGCATATTAATCAAAATAAAGAGGAATGGATAATGGTCACCACTTTGATCCTTTGGGCAGTAAGACCTGGCTCCATCGCATCAAAAAATATTAATCCAAAGCTGATGAATGCTATGTCACTAGCCTTTTCCTGTATCTTCACAGGATGCCCTCTGGTATTTTGGTTTATAGAGAACCTACCATCATACTGACACCTTCTAGTCTTTCCGGATATAAGACAGCATTTGCTATCAATTTACCTCCCTCATGCTCCTTGACTGTGTCTTTTCTCCTCATTTGCACTGACTTAACAGAACTATAGCTCTTCAGAATCTGGTTCACATCACTGTAGATTATCAAAAGCTTTTCAAGGAAAATTAAGTGGAAGGAAGTATGTAGTTAACCAACCAAGTTGTAAATAAGTTTAGTGTTTGATTCTTAAGAAAATTGCATTGAATGATCAAATGGAGTTTTGCTACAAAATGCATTCCCACTGCCTTCCTCTGAAATTAATTGAAATACTTTTGGGGATTTTGCCAACATTCTTGAATATCAAATTTTCAAGTTCATAGGGCATTTAAGCTCTCAATCTCTTTCTATAAATTCATTTATCCATTCTTTTTTAATGTAGTCAGCTATATTTAAATGACTGCCCATAGAAAGGATGCAATTTAAAATAAGGGCTGACTGGACATGGTGGCTTTAGTTCCAACACAAAAGAGCTGTGAGGTTATCAGAGCCAGCCTTGGATATTTAGTAAGAGTCACTAATAATAACAACAATAACAATAATGATAATAAATAAACCAGATATCTAAGATTTCATAGTCTCCTTTTAACAGTCTACTCCATGTTCCCAGGTCTCTCCTAAAACATAGCCTAATAGTTACCCATTTGATTCCAACCATTTAACTTCTAAGTACCCTTTAAGGGTCACCTACTGAATCAGTTATTAAAAATTCAAACAATATGAACAGTCCATTCAAAGATTTGGGTGTTAGTAACACAGGCATGCACACTAGCAGCACAAGATTCAGCTAGAATTTAAAACTAAGGCCAGGCGTTGGTGGCACACGCCTTTAATTCCAGCACTAGGGAGGCAGAGGCAGGCGGATCTTTGTGAGTTCCAGGCCAGCCTGGTCTACAGAGCAAGTTCCAGGACAGCCTCCAAAACAAGACAGAGAAACCCTGTCTCAAAAAAAACAAAAAAGAAAACTAAGGAAGCCTTTGGTAACTGCACAAAGTTTGTTTCCCTACACCATTGTGTGCCTGGGAAAAGCAACACCAGTTCAGGAAGACTTCTCTGAGAGGCTGGTGAGCCAACCCTCAATAACCCGATTTCTTCCTGCATTCTTCCCCAAGGATCACGTCTCCTTTACTCTACCGATACTGGTGATAATTCTAGTTCCTTCCAGCTCCCAGGGTATCACAGAAACTTATATAAGCAGAGCACAGAGGATTTAAATCATATACTCCATGTTGGTAGGAGAAATGAATGCTAGAATCTTTCCCCAAAGCTCCTAGTATTGAAACTCTATTTTCCCTCCTCACTAAGCTAATCCTTTTCCATACATGATTTTTAAAGTCCACTATTCGGTTAGTTAATAAATGAGAGTGTACACTTTACAAAATTTAGGGATTCCTTTAAAGGTCAATATTAGAATTCACTGTTAGACTACACTAGAGCGAGCGGTCTTAGCTCTCCAGTCTCCCCTCCTGTCATCTAAACTTGCCTCCTCAAACACCTCCTTTGCCTTAATCCTTTCTGGTCTCTTGAAAAATCAGCACGTTTTTTATCCACACTACTTCCCAAGCAGATTTCCCAAAGCCAATCTTATCTCTTCTGTAATCACTCAATCAACTACCAAAATGACTCCTACTTCCTTAGACATTTGAAAGCTATGTTTTCATTTCTGTGGCCATTGCCATCCCTTCATCCAGGATTTCGTAAATTATAATTTCTTTACAAAAGTCCCAAATCCATGTGTGAATGTACAGTCATGACCCCCCCATCCTCACCAAGTCACCCACCATCCACCATGCCACCAGACTGGTAATTCTAGGCATTGCAAACACTACAACTTCCCAATCTGTTCACAACAATTGTTGCCCACTTCTCTACCAAGCATCGCCACCTACTTTAATAATAAGAGCAACTGTTTCTATGTTGGGAGTGCATCCTCGCTAACATGGAGGATGCTGAATGGACTTTTCCTATTCAGTCATCCACATCTCACAACATATTTGGATACTATTGTCTCCTTTGCCCACTTTGCAAGCTTCCCAAAGGCACAGAGTTAGGATGCAAACCCGGGCAGTCTAGGTCTGTGCTCCAAACCTGTGCCCCTTCCATCTAGGTTCCTCATTCTCACATCTCTATAATGACACATCTGTCTAGGAGCAGCTGGCCTCTCCCTTCTAATGACAATTGTGTCCTTGCTCAGTCTTAATTTAGTAACCCTGAGTCCCAGGCAGAGATCCTAACCTTTGCTTTAGTCACATAGCTCCTTCTGTTGCATCTACTTAACACTTAACTGAAGCCAATAACATGCACAAACTCCTCCTCCATCCCTACTGCAACCCTCAAGGAAAATAAACACAGTAGAGCTGAAGGCATC